GCCTCGTCCTCAAGATCACTAAGGTAGTTATTTAAAGATTGTGTTTTTGAAGTCTTTTTTCTTGCCTTCTTCTTACTAGATGAAGTGCAGGTAGTATATAAACGTATATTTCCGTTTTAAAAACAAAAATACAAAATGAACATGGATATTATTACCAAGAACAATTTCAAGTAACAATTATCAGGTCAATTGACCTCTCAGAATGGTTCTGGCAAAGTCCTGGTCAGAGCCTACTGGGCAATTATAAAACTTTGCAAACGTAGTAGAGTCTGGTGTCCAACCTGCTGTTTTTCTAATGGTCTCCAACATAATGCCATTTCTAAAAGCCGCTGAACAGGAAGCATGTCTGGTTGAATATCCTTTGAAAATCTTAGTATCAATACCAGAACTCCCCAGAGTAGCACGAATCCATCTGCTTAAAGTCTGTGTTGATGCAGTTTGGTGGGGTCTTCTTGTGCTAAGAAACAAATAATTCTGTGACTCAGATCTGATAGAAACTGTCTTCTCCAAATATAGGAGCAAAATACTGGCTACACACAACCTAGGATTTTCAAAAAAGGGTATATGTAGCACAGGTTGGACATTGCGAACCCCTGAAGTCTTAATACTATCAGATATTCTTATCTGAATCTAATTATTGTCTGCTTCTCCTGTCAATTTATAGATTACTTTTTCACATGAGAAAAAATGAAAGTAAATATCCATCTGAATATTCATGTTGCTGCAGGTATATTTTCACTCAGATTCAGATTCTTTCAGTAACTACCTACATCTCCAAAATTTATACCAATTTGTATTTTGTGAATATTTTGAATAAATATTATTATCATTATTATCATTGCATTTAAAATTTAAGAAATTCCTTTTTACTACAAATTTACTTTCAATATTGCTACTTGAACAGAAGTCTTATGAATATGGAGATATTTTTCGTCGACCCCTGAAAAAACACATTTCACGTTCTAATTCTCGAACGAAAAACCGATTATTTCCGAAGGCATTTCGTCCTCTGCAGGGTTGCCAGTACTACTGAATTTTCAGTAGATCTCCTGAAAAATAATTTGACACTTATTTATCATATATCTTTATTTAATCACATACACTTATGAATTGCATGATATTTCGGCATGCTCTGTTTAAATTAAATTTACTTAGAGGTACTAATGATATGTATTAATCAACAAAGGACAATACTTCATCTGATTCAGATCAAATTCAATTTTTTATATACCTCTATTATAACAGTTTGTTTCTTAGTTTTAATTATTTTATTTGTTTTGTATTTTTGTTCTTCATTTTTACTATTTGTTCCTGTTTTTTATGTACTCAAATCTTAAAAGTATCTATTTTTTGTGATATTTGTGAGTATTTTTGAATTGCGAATTAGGAATATGATTATTTTTTATGAGAATGTGTGTTTTGTTTCTATTATGTTGTAAATAGGTTACATTTCTGCCTGCTAAATGTACATAATGTAATGGAATTTGTATGGCATAAAATAGATCTTTAATAGATCTATTGAAATCTACTGAATTTTTGACAAGGTATTCACTGATGGAATAAAAAACGAACTGGCAACCCTGAAATGCGCGGAGAGTGAGTTGACAACAAAACTGTCATTTGCAGTTTTCAAATTAATAATTGAGGAAATCTGATAGATTCCACATGTGAATAGTATAGTCCTATTACAGTGTTTCCTCTTTGCTACATGAACTATTTGGTATGTTCATGGAACCCATTACTTTTCATTGTCCTAGATACTGTTAAGTGATCCAGTTAATGTTAAATTGGGAACTGCTCTATTTATAACAAGAAAACTCTATCCAATTGGTGAAACTGAGTATTGATTTATTGTTATAATATGCTACAAACAGAATATTTTAAATTACATATAGAGTGGTCCAACGAAAACTCTGCACCCTGAAAAAAGCTCTGACCCGTCGATTTCTGATTCAAGGGGACACGACCTGAAGAAAGCAGTCAATTGGTTCCCCATCGAATCAGAAATTGATGGGTCCGAGCGTTTTCCCGGATTTTCATTTTAATGCCCGAAAATCGGGGTGTGAAGTTTTCGTTGGACCACCCTGTACGTATATCTTGTGAACAATTGAAAGGATTATGTGTCATTAATCTGAAGGCAAACAAATTCAATCCTTATCTTATTCATCCAATAATGAATCAATCAACTACTACTGTAAATTTCTATGTTGTAATCACTATAAAAAACTAAATCACAAAACTTTTTTTTCATCTCTGATAACATAATATGATACTGTAATCTTTACTGCATTTTCAGTATTGAAAAAGTAAGCACCTGTAACAAGGTCAAGATAATCATTCGGAATTGGGAAGTTATATTAAGTTTATTTGTATGCAATATGAATTTATGTTATCAGAACTGTTCTGTTATCTAAAATAAATGTCATCGGCATATTCAGTTCATCAAGCGCCAATTATTTTTCTTATCAACTGACTGTGTGGTGCATTGTTGAAAAAATGCTTAGGTTAGGTTAGGTTACTAGATCTGGTAACATATCTCAGGTTGGGTTACTAGATCTGGTAACATATCCTAGGTTAGGTTACTAAATCTGGTAACATATCTTAGGTTAGGTTACTAGATCTGGTAACATATCTTGAGTTGGGTTACTAGATCTGGTAACATATCCTAGGTTAGGTTACTAAATCTGGTAACATATCCTAGGTTAGGTTACTAGATCTGGTAACATATCTTGAGTTGGGTTACTAGATCTGGTAACATATCCTAGGTTAGGTTACTAAATCTGGTAACATATCTTAGGTTAGGTTACTAGATCTGGTAACATATCCTAGGTTAGGTTACTAAATCTGGTAACATATCTTAGGTTAGGTTACTAGATCTGGTAACATATCCTAGGTTAGGCTACTAGATCTGGTAACATATCTCAGGTTGGGTTACTAGATCTGGTAACATATCATAGGTTAAGTTACTAAATCTGGTAACATATCTTAGGTTAGGTTACTAGATCTGGTAACATATCCTAGGTTAGGTTACTAGATCTGGTAACATATCCTAGGTTAGGTTACTAAATCTGGTAACATATCTTAGGTTAGGTTACTAGATCTGGTAACATATCCTAGGTTAGGTTACTAGATCTGGTAACATATCTTGGGTTAGGTTACTAGATTTGGTAACATATCTTAGATTCATTATTCCATTTTTTTTTTGGATTTTTTTTTCTTGGATATTTTTTTTTTTGGGATTTTTTTTGGGATTTTCTCTCCTCGTTTCTATATAATAAAAATATGAACATTATTTCATTATACGTGTAGTATGGACAAATCAGATTATATGCCCCAAAATGTCACTGCTTTTAAAGAAAAGCTTAATGACATCACTCTTGATATAAATTATACTCTTGTTAGTTTTGATGTAGTAAGTTTATTCACAAATGTTTCAATAGATAAAACTTTACAAATAGTGAAGCATATAAGGAGGGCTATCATTCACGAAGGTTGAGTTTATGTCACGAGTGTAATAAAAACTGTCTCTTGTCTCGCCTGATTGTTTGCCTCGGTTAATGCCTCGGCTATGAATTCGCAGACCCGACTTTAATTTACAGTATTTTGTAGTTGGTACATAAATAACTATTTCAAGAATGCATTGATATCTTCAATCCCTTTCTTAGTACTTCAAAAAGAAGACTCTGGAAACGCTAACCACGTAGAAGACGACGACGACGATGACGAAGAAGACAACCTATTCTCCGCCAAAAACGGCGTTGAAAAAAACATCTTCAGCTCCGCCACTGACGCCGTCATCTCGATGGTCAAAAGGGCCGCCCAAGTACTCGGCAACAAGGTGACCATGCAATTATTTTAAACTAGCAGACCTCGCAAACGTTGTTTTGCTATGTACATTATTTCTATAATATATTTTTTCAGTTCAATATTCAACAAGACACCATTATTATCTGATTTTCTACTTTTTTTTTGTTTTGTTATCTATAAAAGCGTGTATCTTTAGTTTTTTAAACTACCATTCATTTCAACTTCATTTTAGTTCACTTGAATTTCCCAATTTTGACGAAAGATTCATAATATACGATTCCTTAAACCCCAGATGAAAATTTTTAATAGAATCGGAACATAATTACAAAACTTGTCCGCATTATTGTTATACGACGCTATACATAGTGGAGTATACTACGGCCTCGCCAAAAATGATATCTCGGAAACTAAGCGAGATAGAGGTATAGTTACTTTTGAGAAAATGATCCCCATCGAATTTTGAGCAACTTTGGTTTTTGTGTGTGGTCTGTCTGTCTGTCTGTACTCTATGTTAATCATAAATCGATATATCTCCGGAACCCTTTGACATATCGACTTGAAATTTTGCCATCTTATTGTACTCAAAACAATATTATGTCATTAAAATATGAAGGAAATCGGAAAACTCTAAGGTGGGTTTTCCGGGTTTTTTCGATTTTTCACCGGAAGTTTCTTGTAACCACTCTACAAATCGCAAAAGTGGTCCGATCGATTTCATTTTTTGTGAAAAAAAAACTCTATCAGGGAGAGACGAAGCCTATTGAAATTGAGCAGGGTCGGAAAATTCCAAGTGGGTTTTTCAAGGAGATTTTCCGAAACACACGGTTCGCTTTAAAACGACATATCTCCTGAACCAATAGACTAAATCCAAATTGGAAAAATGCACCGTATGCCTCTTTGATGACGCAACAAATGATTACATTACCATTTTTTCGTGCATCCATCGGAAAATGGAAAAAGAAATGAAAATCAAAACATCAAAATTTGAAATCCTTTCAATTCAATATATATCGAAAACAAATGGAAAAATCGAAAATTATCAAGAGTGCAAAGTTATCCACTGGAACATTTCCTACAAATTAGTTGCCATAATTTTTTCTGTAAACCCAATAGTACAGGAAATAAAGTGAAAAATATGAAAAAAAAAAGATGGAACAAGTGTTGAAAATTTTATTCTCAGATAATTCCAAATATCTCGAAAACAACTGAAAATATCTGAAAATGTTATAGAACCAAAATTATTCCTTTTGATAGAATCTACAAAAAATCCGTATAACATTTTTCTCTGAATTCAATAGTTCGGGAGATACGATGAAAAAACTAAAAAATTTACAAGTTCCTAGATAATCACTTGCCAATAGAAAACGAAACAAAAAACAAAAGAAAGTAAAAAAAGCACACTCGACTGTCTTGATTTTTTTTCCCATATACTACGTACCTAGCTCACTCTACTTTCTTTATTTTTACCAATAAACTAGGTACGGGCTAAGTACGTAGTTTGTACGAAAAATCTCCAGTTCTCTGAACTTTCATAGCGTCGTATACACATCATTGGTGCCCAATGATAGTTTCAATATAAAAATATGCTCATGATATGGTGCCATGGCCTCTACTTCCATGATAAAATATCATCTGCTTTTATAACGTCGTATGAATTATCTGACCTTTATACTAATCTGATACCTTTCAGAAACTACGTACCTCACTTGTTGGATCTACCATCTTGAATTCCCTAGTTTTGACGAAGGAATCATAATGTTTCATCCCGAAAACGCCCACTTACAAATTTTGAATAGGATCTATACCGATTACAAAACTCGTCCGGTATATTGGTTCCATCGTCTTGAATTTCCAATTCCCGCCCTTTCCAAATTTTGACAAAAGAATCATAATCTCCCAGATAACAATTTTGAAAAGAGTCGGATCATAATTACAATACTCGTTTGCCATATTGGGTCCGCCATCTTGAGTTTCCAAATTTTGACGAAAGAATCATAATCTCTGACTCCGAAAACCCCCAGATACCAATTTCGAATAGAATCGGACCATAATTACAAAACTCTTCCGATATATTAGATTCGCCATCTTGAATTTCCTAATGGTACCGGGATAAAAAGTATCCTATAACCTTCTCCTGGTTCTAAGCTGCCTCTCCACCAATTTTCAGCCAAATCGATCCAGTAGTTTCGGACCCTATTCAATACATACAATCAAACATACGAACAAACAAACAATCTAAACCTTTCTTCTTTATAATATTTGTATAGATAATTGTTACTTTTAAAATATGATATACATTTGAAAACAATATTTACTAAGAAATGTGTAGCGCAATTTAGTGAATGTAACAATGATCGAATTACGAATGAATATTATTATTATTATTATCATTAAGGTGGACAATCAAACAACCAACACCAACAAGTCATTGTCCAATGCCCTAGTCAATACCTGCAGCTGCCCCAGACACCTGATCATCTGCAACAATTGCACCGAAACGCTTCTCGGGCAAATCTACGAGTTGCTCAGCTGCAAATCGGATACGATCAGAAAGCTGATCGGCCTGCCGCCGATATACAGGGCGTTGGCCGGATCTGCCAGCTGCTCGAAGTTCGGCTACCGGAACAGTAACGGGCGCGATGACAGTCGCTTGGAGGGTTTTTTTCCGGAGAAGTATGTGGGGGCGATGTGCAACGAGATGGCGATTTCGGAGCAGCAAGGGGTGCTGAACGTTAGCCAGCATTTTCCGAATATTACTAGTGACCTGACCAATGATAAGATCATCAGCATGGATGTGAAGGAAGTTGTGGATCTTCAAGGGAAACCGAACGAAACTGTCATCGACGTTACCGAACAGCCAGGTTAGAAATGAATCTTTTAATTTGATTCATTTTAGTTGATTTATCCCTGGAAGAAGAATCTGTCATCAGATTTCACTGTCACCTAGATTCGTTTTTTTTTTTTTAAATCCTTGAAAGCTTTGGAAACTTCATCGCATCTCATTATCGATGATAGTTGCGTTTTTCTAAACCTCATCAATCTGTTTTTCAGGATAAATACTACCTAATGGGGGAGACCACTGATTTTTTAAAATGACATTATCGTGAACTCTATACTGAAAAATTACCAGCGAATTAATTCATGCTAAGACGATGGAAAAAATAAATTAGTATATGCCCATTTCAAAATACACAATTCCTGCACCATTTGAAATTTTGTCAATTCATTGGTGTGACTGGTGCGACGTCTTATTCCCAACACGCCTATTGTCCTTGAACTGACCAATCACACTGCAACACTGCAGAATGACGAGATATCAGAGAGAGATAGCTACAGGTCGGGACTAATACGTCACGACTCCACCATCATATTTGGCTGTTTGAAATATCGAATGAAATATGCTGATTTCAAAACGATATAGATTCGATTCCCTTCAACTTTAACTCATAATATTGATTGTACATCAAACGTAAATCATGATTCGTCGATTGAAAGAGGTTTGCACGGATTTCTTCTCTCAGTGGTCTTCCCCATTGGACCCCAGAAATTAATTAGAAGATTGTATGTATACAAACGTAGATTTAAATCTCGAATCACAGGAAAGAATGAAATTTCTCCTATGATTTTATATAATTTCTAAAAAAATTCATACGTTCTGATACGGACCCATTAAAAAAGTATTTCAGAATCCTTACAAAATCGATTGTTTTATCTTGACATGTTCAATCTCAGACCAAATCTTGCTGTAACAGTGTTGATCCGTCAAATTTCCATGTTCCGTTTTTTCAAAACTGGTGAACGAATTTTCTCAAACTTTAAAATACTAATCAAGAGAGGAACACCATGTTTTCCTTAGAGCACCTAGATCGGACTAGAACAGTCACAATACATTCACATATTTTACAAGAACAAATCACAATTTATTTTTTCATTCAAAAATCATTTTTACGGGTACTCCTATTCAATAATCAGAACTGAAAATTTATATTTAGAAATAATGACTGAAATAAACTTTCAGACGATTTCAAAGAATCGTATCTTCCAAAACTGGTGGACAAATTATCTCAAATAAAAAAACTACTCAAGAGAGGAACCATTTTTCCTCAGATATTTTCCATAGCTTCCTAAGATATTTTGTTTGTTCACAACAATGTAATGATGTTATCACTGACGTTTCAAAAGTTTGAAACTGACGTATGACCTACTTTTACTCACCAGCCACGGGTGGAAAATGGACAAGCAGTGAGAATGCATAACCCTAAAAAAATTGAAATGACATGACCAATTTGGCGGGGATTGACAGTTCATGAACGTACATGACATTAAATTATTTGAAAATCCAGTTTTTCATAAATTAGAATGGCTAATATTTGTATTAAATTTATATTATATTTATCAAACATATCTTCCAGTCAGAACAAGTTCTGGTATCTGATTGGATAATAGTTGATGATTTTCTAGATTATAAATGGTAAAGTACCATTTGGGACCACAAATGATTTTTTTTTAATTTTGTGCCCCCTCTTTATTGAAACCTCTAGATTTAACTCAAGTTAATAGGTAAAAAACTTGTATGCGGAAACACCAAATACATTCAGCCTAACTTATTTTTTCCTGATCTTCTCAAATTTGTAAATGAGATGTTAAAATATTGATATATAGGGTGTTGTTTCGACTCGAAACCTACTTATTAATTTTTTGTAAGGCCGGTTCTGGAATAAGATTTTTTTTATTATGTCAATTGTCACTACTGTCGACAAAGAACATAAAAACCAAATATCAAAACAATGTATAGGGTGGTTCATAAGTTATAATTAATTGAAAAAATGAGGGAAATCAATGAATCACCCAGTATCTTGACTATAAAGAATGATAGACCCATGAAATATAGATTATTTAGAAGTACCTCGATGTCCTCCATCTACCCTTACTGTATGCGCATTTCCCAATGAATCACCCTGTATAACACTGAAAAACTGAAAAATCTTCACACAGGCAACACAACCATCCACTCGGCCACCGTAGACACCTCGCAAATAAAACCGACGAAAACCCTCACCGTCGACCCAAACACCACCACCACCCCTGTCCCCGAGGATCTCGTGCCGGCCAACCCGGAAACGGCGCCCCCAAATCCGGAAACGGCGCCCTTCTTCGACGCCGACCCGACGCCGGACGTCGACCTCTCCAACGAGACCATGGAGACGGCGCTGGACGAGCAGATGGAGAGCGTCGACAGTAGCACGGTGGTGGTGACCGCATCGCCGCAAGCGCCCAAGGAGTCCATCTTTTTGAGGTTATCCAACAGGATAAAGGTGAGACAATGAACTCAATATTCGCGGGAATCAATGTTACCAGGTGGCGCTCGGTTTTCATCGTTCCATGTCAAAGCCACGTCAAAACTGGGGGAAAACAAACTCAATCCTCACTCAATCCCAGTAGTGCCATCAGCTTGTGTACTGTACTGATAAGAGTGATAAGTTTTTAAATTTCTTGACATTAATTGTCAATATTCGATCGAAAACGCATGTTGTAGATGTTGTTTTTGCAGATATATTGCTCTATTTAGATGGAAAAAGCCGACCAGTGGAAGGAGAAGCAGTTCTCCGTGCGAATCATGTGATTTTGTGTGAGGCAGAAGACTTCAACAAAAGGCACATTTTTGCACTTTGTCTACAACTTCGGCGATGAAATCTTCCCCACATGAAGTAATATTGGAGTTCCAGAGGGACTCCTGTAGATCAATGGATTTGTATTTGTTCATGCAAAGCAGGACAATCTGGGTATTGTAAACATGGTGTAGTGTTCTTTTATATGTCAATTGATTTGCTCGTCATAATTAGTTTCAATTGTTTGAACTATTATCTCCAATTCTTCACCCGTTCACTGTTCACTAAACTAATAAAAATGTAATAATGTATGAAAATTTACCAACTCAACCATCATCACTACCAACAGTGCCAACACTTTATGTCATGTTTGTTTTCCCCCAGTTTGAAGTTCGTATTATGTAACCTAGATGTCGCCCCATAAACACCTGGAAGGGAAAACTATGAAAATCATTCATTCTCAAAGTGGCCCCACAGTATTCATAAATAAAAGAGAATACTTTAAGTCGGTCGACCACACTTTATATTGTCACGAGTAGAATATACGGTATATTAGTAATTTCGAACCATGGGGGTTTTATAAACATAAAGTTAATCAAATCATCCGTTGACATTGAATTATGAAAACTGACCAAGGAACTCTCATGAGAGCTATATTTTTGTATATTATATTTATCGTTTATATTCAGGATACTGATAAGACTATGTCGTGTGACTTCGGCCGCTATGTAAACTTACTCATGTGATTAGTACCTAGTTCTCAAACGGTTTGTCAATAAGAATTTATATTCTTCAGGCAATAAAGTATATTTTGATTTGATTTGATTTGAGAAACGTGCATATCTAATAAGACGATGTATATAAATATTGGATGTGAGGGTTCCGAAGTTAGTCTGGGGCTACTCATGACTTGACAAGAGCTCGTCGTGATGGTCGTTATAATTTAAGGTGTTATTAGGTCTTTATATTCATTGGTGGTTATTCATATTTGTCATTGCTACCCATAATGTTACATGTTATAATACAAATTGTTATGTTCGAATATAGTCTCGTACTTTCAGTTATCCCTAAACTATTAGTACCTCTCGCAAACTATTAAGCCAGCATAACCACCTATTATATCGTGACATGGTGGAGGCACATGTTCAGAAAATTCTTTCAATTAACGAGAAATTTCATCCCGCAAAAATTGAACAAAATACCAGAAAAAAATCAAGTACACCACTTTAAAACAATTTGAATGATTGAACTTTGTGTGATTGTGCCTACCGCATGGAAATTTCAGCAGAGGTGACGTCAGATTTGCTCCAGTGTAGAACTTTGGGTGGAAAAAGGGTTCTAACTTCAAATTTCATTTAGATTCCTAATTTTTTTATATAAGTGCCATTCGATAGTACACGCCGAGCTTTCTCAGTCTTTGAAATATTTGCACTTATTTAAATGCCACCCTGTATATTAGAAAGTGACCGGTATCGGCACAACGGCCATCATCAGACTAAAACGACCTGTTATGGGTCAGGAAAACAAAAAGACATTGAAATTAAAAACCATAATAAGTTTCGTGATGAGATGGATTCAGTTTTAACACACTTAATGTTGAAAACTATGCATTTCCGGACCCACGTACATATAAAATGAATTTCTTATTTTGTCATGTAGAATCACCCCCTTGATTTTTTGCGCATAATTTCCGGACACCCTGTATTATAACCCCTCACCTACTAAGTCACTAAATTACTGTCATAAAAGACGATAGACACCGCCACTCATTAACAAGTCTGCAGAATCATAGGCAAAGGATTAAGGCATACCATCGATATATCATTCAGTCAATTTATCTAAACAAATAATTTCATGAAGAATCATCATAAAATATGCGTTTTCAGGCATTGGAACGGAACGTGTCCCTCTCGAGCCAGTACTTAGAGGAGCTCAGCAAGCGCTACAAAAAACAAGTGGAAGAAATGCAAAACCTATCGGAAAAAACGATCGCCGTCCTCCGCGAGGAATCCCAAGAGCGACTGGAAAGCAAACAAAAACTGGAAGAACGTCTCGACCAACTCGCGGCCGCAGTGGACACCCTGGTGGCGGAAAGAAGAAGCTTCTTCCTTCTCGTCTATTTCTTCTTGTTTGTCGGCATCGTCGGCAGCGTTTATTATTTTTTTTGCGGATCGACAGAAGGCGCTGTTCAGATTTCTCGTCGCCTTTCTGACGAGGACACGCTGAGGAGGCCCAAGGAGAGGAAGAAACGCAGGCCGAGCGATCAGGTGCTGAAGATTGTGCGGTACTCTTCGGTGAATGAGGATGAGAGGAGCAGGAGGTAATGACATTCTTCTAATTTTCATTAATAATTATTGATCATTGTGTTGTGTGTAAGGAATTTATTAATATTGCTTTTCAGGGCAGAAATATGCCGAATTCGGGTTTGATGTTTCCCTGAAAGCAAGACAGTTCACTGAGTTGTTGATAATGAATCATAGTTAGGCTCAAACAACCATGAATCCCTCTTTTCCAAGTACGAACCCTGACAAGTCAACTGTTGCAAACCGATTTTCCCCAGAGTTCTGTAAACATTATAAATATTCATTGAAATTCACGATATTTCGTAACATGAAAAACGCGGGAAAAGCGTGACGTCATCATCCGAAAAAATTCGACATACATATCTATTCTCCTTGTCTGTTAGACAAGTGCAAGTATATTTCTGATTGTCATTTCAATCAAAATAATATGGGAAAGTCCGCCTCCTCTGAAGGTCTAGTGATTTTTTGGACTGAATACTTACTGCAGATAACAGAGAACACAACACACAACTGAAGAATCAGATTATCAAGAGGAATATCTTTGAATATTCGCATCTTGACTAGATGAAACTAGAGTACCTGTATGTATTGGACAGTTTTGCTTTAATAAGAGTACGGATACTATGACAAGCAGTGACAGAAGGCATAACCCTAAACAATTTTTAAATGACATGACCAATTTGGCGGGCACTGACAGTTCATGAACGTACATGACATTGAATTATTTGTAGTTATGCCTTATTACAGCAAAACTGTCAAATACATACAGGGACTCTATTTTTATCTAGTCAAGATACGAATATTCCAAGATATTCCTCTTGATGATCGGATTCTTCAGTTGTCTGTTGTGTTCATGACGTCATCGAAGCTGGCGTTTTTCGAAAGTGCCAAATTTCATTATTGAAAAAAAATATTTTTGCGAAGATACTTTTTATACGCGGAATGATCAATATGAAAAATAGGTTTGTGACGTAAATTCGACTAGTGTGTACACCCCCATTGAACTGTTTTCTCTGAAGTCACTGCTTAGAATTCTATTTGCATTGACATTTCCTCAGAATCTGAACATTTTTTAATTTCGACTTTCCCTTAGTAGAAATCAGAATTTGTTCTCCCAATTCATTATCTTTTTCTGAATACGAGCTCTCTCTGACTTTGAACCTATTTCTTTGAATTTAAATTTGTTTTTTCAAATTCAGGCATTTTTCTGACTTCAGACTGTTCCCTGCAAATTCAGACTTTCTTATTTGAAATCGGACTTGTTTCTTTGAATGCACACTTTACTAGAAAATTCAGATATTTCCTATGAATTTAGACTTTCCTCTTTGAATGCAGACTTTTTTTTTTCTAAATTCAGTCTTCCCTCTGAATTCAGACTTCTCACTGAATTCAGACTTCCCTCTGAATTCAGACTTTCCTCTTCAAAATTAAACTTGTTCATTGAATTTAGATCTTTCATTTGATTTCCAGTCTTTCCTCTCTGAAATTGAACTCTCTTCTCTCTGAATTTAGACTTGTTTCTCTGAATTCAGACTTTCCTCTTCAAAATTAAACTTGTTCATTGAATTTAGATCTTTCATTTGATTTCCAGTCTTTCCTCTCTGAAATTGAACTCTCTTCTCTCTGAATTTAGACTTGTTTCTCTGAATTCAAACTTTCCTCTTCAAAATTAAACTTGTTCATTGAATTTAGATCTTTCATTTGATTTCCAGTCTTTCCTCTCTGAAATTGAACTCTCTTCTCTCTGAATTTAGACTTGTTTCTCTGAATTCAGACTTTCCTCTTCATAATTAAACTTGTTCATTGAATTTAGATCTTTCATTTGATTTCCAGTCTTTCCTCTCTGAAATTGAATTCTCTTCTCTCTGAATTTATACTTGTTTCTCTGAATTCAAACTTTCCTCTTCAAAATTAAACTTGTTCATTGAATTTAGATCTTTCATTTGATTTCCAGTCTTTCCTCTCTGAAATTGAACTCTCTTTCTGAATTTAGACTTGTTTCTCTGAATTCAGACTTTCCTCTTCAAAATTAAACTTGTTCATTGAATTTAAATCTTCACTTTGATTTCCAGTCTTTCCTCTCTGAAATTGAACTCTCTTCTCTCTGAATTTAGACTAGTTTCTCTGAATTCAGACTTCCCTCTTCAAAACTAAACTTGTTCATTGAATTTAGATCTTCAATTCGATTTCCAGTCTTTCCTCTCTGAAATTAAAAAAATTCTTCTTCCTGAATTTAGACTCTTCTCTCGGAATTTAGACTTGTCTCTCTAAATTCAGACTTCCTTCTTTGGAATTAGACTTGTTTCAGACATTCAGACATTTTCTTCTGCTTTCGTAAATATTTTAGTTGATGTGCCGATGTGCACTATTCAAATTCACTTCATTCAATGCAAAAATCCACATTAAGGGAAAGGAATTTCGAAACATCTTGGGATTGGGGTCTTATTGATATTATTGAGATGATGAAATAATGAGAGACACCTACCCTTGCAGATCGAAGAAAAGAAAGAAGAAAGTGTCGAAACGTTCGCATTCAGCGGGCAGTTTGAAACTGAAAAACGACGACGATTGGGTGACGGGCACGCAACAGGTGATCGAAGACCACGCGCCGTTCGTATTGGACGAGAGCGATCACGTGATCAGCGAGCCGCTGAATCTGCCTGAGCAGGAGGAGCAGGAGGAGGACCGCGATTCTGCGCAGAGGGTGCAGATTGTCATCGAGGAGAATCGCCATGAAGGGGTGGAAACGAACTCGACTTGTAGGAGTCCCTCCAATGGGGTGGAGGGGGTCAAGAAGGAGAAGCGGGGGTTGAAGAGGTTTTTGAAGAAAGTGTTCTGAGAGCTGTGTATTATTTAGATTTTAGGTAACTATTTATATGTTGTAATATATTCGAATAAATAATTAATTTGACTATTATCTGTGAGACAGTGATGCTTTGAGATTTCTTTTGATGGATACTGTTATAGTGAATTGTTATTCGATTGAATGAAATATTTACTGTGATAATATAGATTCTTTTATTTGAACTGTCCCTTCTCTATTTTATTTTCAGATCCCGAAAAAATGAGGTTTTGAAGTTAAAGGATTACTGCCATCAAAAAGTTTCAGCAACTTTTCGAAGATGCATATTCTGAAAAGAAACCGAAAAGATGCAATTTTTTATACTTGGTTTGTCATAAAAATTGACCCTCAGACTACAATATCAATTTCCGTCTATGTGAGTAGTTTGAAGATATGAATTCCTTCTTGAAATTGACTAACTTGGTCCTCCTAGCAATTCTAGAACATATAATAATGGAAGCGACGAGATAAAACTTTTAAGGTTTTCGCAAACAGTGTAATAGAGGCTATTTTCCATAATGAAGAAAGAACATTTTTGAAGATGCGTTTTAAATAGACGTTCTTGTATCAATTGTGCTGGCCTAGTGCAACTGATGAGACTTGGCAATCTGAAACAGCCTGTTTTGCATTATTGGTATGGAAAGTCTAGATGTTTCATTCATTACAATTATGAAGAGATTATTATTATTTTTTTAATATACCGACAAAGAATTATCACACAGAGAATGCGAATTTTCAATGTATTTCTTTATGTATAGATCTTTTTTTTTTTCAAATCTGAGAATATTCTTTTTCAATAAGTGTTATTATTCCAATTTTTTGGGATTTTCTCTCCTCGTTCAAATCAGATGATTTGCACCAAAATGTCAGTGCGTTCAACAAAGGACCCCGCACCGCAATAGAGGGGAATAATTGGCTTTCGGTGAATTTTCTCGAATTTTGGATATATCGTAGAACTCGTGATGCTGATCAGATGTTCCAATTATCAACGCTCTAAATTCAATAGTACGTTTATACAGGGTGCTGAAGTAGACTTTTTCAAAATTGCGAATGGCCATTGTGAAATTTCCTTTTTGAATACCAAAATCAAATTGACTACGTTTTGTTTGTCCATGTGGCCGGTGAAAATCCACTATAGAGTTCAATGATATCTGCACGTACTCACGATATACAGAGTTGGTCCACAAATAGCAAATGTTCCATAATTACTTCCGAAAAAGTGAGCGGTTGAAATCAATTCATTTTTGGACATTTCGCATAATACTAATTTTTTTTCATTTTACTTGATTTTTTGGGTTTTTTCTCCTCGTTTCTATAAAATAAGAATATGCATATTATTTCAATATATATATGATGTTGGCAACATCAGTATGACACTGTAAAGTGTCAAACTATAAACAGCACAACTTCCAAAGAGAATTATTTCGCATTTTCATGTTGAGAACGCGGGAGCAGATTCGGTCCCGAAACGTCCAAAAATAAGTAAAAATTCGATATTTTTTCAATATACCTATCTATATTTCTTTCCTTCAAAAAGGACCCCGCACCGCAATAGGGGAGAAGCTTTCGGTGAATTTTCTCGAATTTTGGATATATCGTAGAACTCGTGATGCTGATCAGATGTCCCAATTGTCCAATAATTTTCGATAAAACAGGCCATAGCTTTCAGGGCTATCTGGCGAAATTTTGGGATTTTTGAGATTGACACTGACCTCACGTTTTAGTGGCGCCAATTGGTGATAGTGAAAATATTAGCCCTCATTTACTTCGGAATAATAGGGTGTCCAGATCGATTATAGAGGCATATATATGACGATCTTCTGATAAATTAGTGGCAAATTCTTGGGAGGACCGAGTCCAATGTAAACTCTATGGTGTACCAGAGGGCGATAAATCAAATTCACGTCGCATGCAGGGTATCAACGGTGACTTTCCACCCTGTCATCAGAGAGAGAATATGAGAGAATAATTGCTGATGAAGGCAGCATGAGCGTAGATAGACGAGACGCGGCGAGGGGGCTGATTATATAAGAAAAATGTACGCGTGGTTCGCTTATTGAAACAAAAAATATTAACATCAGGTAAATAATGGCTATTTCCGAAGAGAAATGGTTACCAATTCTAAGATGGCCGAAAATGGAGACAAATTTCAGAGACGAACTTGGGAAATTTATTTTCTTCATAAATTTCATAATTTCGACTTTCTGGATCGTATTTTTCGAAAAATCCCAACAAAATCAGAAAGATCAGGAACAACACTACAAGTACAGCTTTTCAATTTGTACGGCACACTTCGACCGATTGGGTAAAACAAATTCAAACAAAATACTGATGAATATTTCTTCGATTTCACGTCCGGGCACATTACTCTCTGCATTCGACTTGAGGTATACCAGCAAAGTTGATAATGTTTTTTTTTCAAATTCAGGACCGGACTTGATTTTTGGGAAAAACTACAAAACAATTATAATTTTTGAAAAAGCTTTGTCTATACCTCAACGATCTTCAACGAAAATTTTCGAAATGTCCTCTAATTTCTTCACATTTTCTGCATCTCTTCCGGAGATCTCTCATGGTTTTTAGAATAATTTGCCTATTGTTTCTAATCATATCTGAATCTGTAAATATCCTCTCCCTCAGCTCCTCATCTCTGGTGTTGACTTCAGTTTGATATACCAATCGTTTTATTATGTCTCCATAGATAATAGTCTAATACTGTTAGGAGACCTAGAAGGCAAAGAATGAGGGCCGCCAATGCTTTCTGAATCGTGAGAACACCAAACTCACAATTTAATTCGCTGGTTGAGAGACTCCACATGCAATGAGATCATATTCAATTGTTCTTCAAAAGTTCCTCTATGTAGTATATGAGTAGGCACGTATATCTGATTCGGATAGAAATCTTCCACCTAAGCGATAATTCCTCATATTGAGTACAATGTTTCCACATTTCCACATGTATAAGCAGATTTCAATTGGAAATTATTTATGTTCATATCTCAAAGTTCTCTTCCAGAAAATCAAGTCCGGTCCTGGATTTTTGTACCGAACAAATAAGCCTCTTTCCAACTCTAATGATACACCAATATGCAAGAAATGAATTTAAATGAATTTGTCGAACGATTCGACTACAATATGCCCGTGCCATATCATGAAAACGTTCATCGGTATTTTGTTTGATATTTTTTCAACGATTTGGTCGAAGTGTGCCGTACAAAATGAAAAGCTACACTTGTAGTGTCTTTCCTGACTTTTCTGATTCTGATGAGAGTTTTTCAAAAATACGATCCAGAAAGTCGAAATTATGGCATTTATAAAGAAAATGAATTTCCCAAGTCCGGCTCTGGATTTTTTTTTCCATAGTAGGCCATCTTATGGAGTGTCTGTAGAGGTAGGTTACTGATGAATTTCAGACGATAACATGAAGACGTTGCTGAATTATCGTTCATCGAAATTTCAGCTCGAATTTTTTTTTATGTTCTGGTTCTCACGAAAAAGGATATCCTGTAATGTTAAGAGAACATCGTGAGAACCAAGGGAAATAAGGTAGGAATTGGTGTTCTTCTAAAATTTCTTGAGGTTATATGGCTCGGGGAACACCTCCCTTGGCAATGTGTCCCAGAGTCTTTGGAAAGATATGTTCTGCAGGTCTCCAAAGTGACCACGAAGGGGTGCGAAGCCTCTCAACTCGACGGGTTAATATCGCGGGGACTGCCAAGGGAGGAACAATTGTTGATATTTCAGAAGAGCATCGTCCATGAAAATATCTATAAAATAGAGCCAGATCGCCAACTTTTCTACAGTGTTCCAGAGAAGTGAGGGAGTTTGTGAGCGACGCATCACCCACGAGACGAATTGCCCTTTTTTGGACAGAATCCAACAGTTTCAGGGTATGTTTGGGTGCTGCACTCTAAATATGGGAACAGTATTTCAGGGCAGGTCGGATCTGTGACTTATAGATAATAAGCAGCTGACTGGAAGTGAAATAGCTCCTGGCCCGAAAGAGAAAACCAAGTTTTTGGGATTCCCTTTTAGCAATTGATCTCACGTGATTTTTCCAAGAAAGGTTATTGCTGATAGTAATACCAAGCATCGAAATGGATGTCTCCAAAGGTATGGTTACTCCTGAAAAGCTTCAGGAAATAATGCCCTGCATTTCTGCTACGAATAGGCAAAACATATTCTTTCACATATATGTTAACTCATCTCGACTTCCTCTATCCGCCGTTAGGCTATGGCTGGTTAGTCATGACTCACCCAGTATACAGGTGATGACAGAAAGTACGCCTATGCACGTGCATCTCGGAAACTAGCGACTAGCGACTGCCGACGGATTATTCCGGGTAATTAGCGCGGGAAACTTTCGACTTGCTTTCAACTTCTCGCTCGCAATTAGGAGTTTTGCTTGTGCCTTGGAAGTCACTTCGCGACTTCGCAATCGAGAATGTGTGCGGAAGGGAGGAAGGGGGGGCAAAAGGGGGAAAGAGGGGGTCGTTTCGTTTGCTCGCGGCGGGGCCCCATTGTTTCCCCCGAGATTTATGGGCCCCAGACGCTACAGGGCGTCGAAACCGACAAAAAACTTGCTCGACCAACAGAAGTCTATAGTTTTTCAACAGTGGAAAATCCTATGGTGGTTTTAGAATATTGATTTTATTTCGATAGAGTATATAGGGGAGCCCACCGATTTTCAAAAAAGAATGATAATTTATTTTGAAGTTCGACTTGGGCGTTAAACTTTGCTTCAAAAAATATGAAAAATGGCCTACTCGGTCGGGCTGAAAATATTCTTCACAAATGTGTCTTGATATTTTTTATTTTCTTCTGACTGTAACTATAACAAACTTTCGTTATACAGGGTGTATCTATCTATATGCAAATGGAACTAATAGACTTGCAATGTGACACTGTTTTGAAAGACGCAAGGAAGTTGATATTTTGACTTTCTACTCAAAATATTCTGAAAGTCATGACTATCATATCATCCCAACATGAGCAAA